TCCCTCGACCTGCTGGCCACGCTGCTTTGGATGCAGCCCAGGATACAGTTGGCTTTCTGGACTGCAAGCACACATTGCCAGCTCATGTCCAGCTTTTCACCCACCAGTACCCCCAAGTCCTTCTCAGCAGGACTGCCCTCCATCCCTTCATCCCTCATCAGCCTGTACTGATACTGGGGTTTGCCCTGATCCAGGTGCAGGACCCTGTACTTGGCCTTGTTGAACCTCACGAGGTTCACACAGGCCCATTCCTTGAGCTTCTCCAGGTCCCTCTGGGTGGCATCCCATCCCTCAGACAAGTCAACCACACCACTCAGCTTGGTGTCATGAGGGGTGCAATACTGGACCTTTTGGTCACCAACACAAGTGAGCTAACTGGCGACATCAAGATTGGAGGCAGCCTGGGCTGCAGTGATCATGCACTGGTGGAGTTCACAGCCCTGAGGTTAATGGGGCAGGTGAACAGTGCAGTCAGGACCCTGAATTTTAGGAAAGCAAAATTCCAGCTCTTCAAGGAGTTAGTCAACAAGACCCCCTGGGAAACTGCCCTTGGGGACAAGTGAGCAAGAACAGAGCTGACAGATATTTAAGGATGCTTTCCATAGAGCACAAGAGCTCTCAATCCCCAGGTGTAAGAAATCAGGAAGGCAAGAGACCAGCATGACTGAGTCAAGACCTGCTGGGCAAACTATAGGGCGAGAAGGAAATGAACAGGCAGTGGAAGCAAGGACAGGTATCCTGCGATGAGTACAGGGATGCTGCCCAGTTGTGTAGGGATGGGGTCAGGAGGGCCAAGGCACAGCTGGAGCTGAGCTTGGCAAGGGACACAAAGAATTGTAAGACGGGCTTCTACAGGTATGTCAGCCAGAAAAGGAAGGTCAAAGAAAGCATAGTCCTCTGATGAGCAAGACTAGCAAACTGGTAACAACGGGTGAGAAGAAGGCTGAGGTACTCAATTTCTTTGCCTCAGTCTTCACTGGCAATGTCTCTCACCACACCTCTTGAGGGGATGGACTGCAAGACAGGGACTGGAGGAGCAAAGTCCCTCCCACTGTAAGAGAAGATCATGATTGAGACCACCTGAGGAACCTGAACATGCACAGGTCTATGGAACCTGATGAGACACATCCCAGAGCCCCGAGGGAATTGGCTGATGTAGTTGCCAAGCCACTCTCCATGATACTTGAAGAGTTCTGGCAGTCAGATGAAGTCCCTGGGGACTGGAGAAAGGGAAACATTGCACCCATTTTTAAAAAGGGTAGCAAGGAGGGCCCTGGGAACTACCAACCCATTGGCCTCACCTCAGTGCATGGGAAGATCATGGAACAGATCCTCCGAGAATCAATGGATAGGGGTCAGAGTTTTATTTCTATTTCCATCACAGGTCTGCAGGGTGACTGCGAAGCATCCGGGAGCCTTGCACTTTGAGTCACAAAAATAGCCCCCACCAATCTGGTTTGAAAACTGAAAAAGCCTCTGAAAAAAAAATACTGGAAAGATTTCATCAGTTTCTTGAAAACAAGAATCAGTTCACAAACTCTCCTTTTCAGGAGATGTTCCATTATATAAGGAAAAGGAATAGATCAATAAAGTCAGTATAGCACAAACATACCTGTGACTTAAGCTGTTTGGGGGGCAGATGCCAGCAAGTTGCAATATCATGGACCTCTGCACTTGCTATTTAATCCCCAAGCGATGTATGTTCTGCAGAGCGGCCTCCTGTGCAGATGTAGCCAAATTCCAGGAACAGGTTTTAAGGCTGTCTTCAACACACAGCTGACTATTCACACTCCTTCCCAGTACCCTTAGCACAGAGGTGTATGAGAAGGTGTCTCAAAAGTAGGTGGAGGTTTTTCTAGAGAACACCTCCCTCCAGCAATAGTTGACAGAGGAACAGGCTGTGACACTGTTGCAAGATGGAGAAAATTATAGCAACCCCTGTAGCTATTATTTGCTGCCATTAAGGACATGGTGAAAAGATGGGTGAAAAGATAACAGAAAGGCAATGCCATCTCCATGCCCTGCCTTAAAGTGCATAGCCTGAAAATCCAGCCTGATGTTTATATAGTGTTTCCAACCTGTAATCTGCTAAATGCTGTGATTAAATAATTGTCCTTAAGGTTATAACTGCTTTTAAACCGTACAGTTTAACACTGAGTGTTGGAATTGACAAACGTCATTCCCCATTGACTAAGTAACCTAACCTCAGCCTGGGGACCGAGAGCTGGAAGAGAACCCAATGGTTGTGGATGGGAGGAAACCCCAAAGAGTATTTTATTGGCATCTGGGGAAGAAAAGGGGACGAAAGTGAAAGGGAGCAGTGGAGGGGCCTAAAACACATCTATTTTACATAAGCTGATGCTGTTGTGCTTGGCAGGCATTTCTCATAAGGTAAGGAAGACTGTCATTTTACTGGCATAGCTAAGGTTGGGGCAACAAGCCATGCCAGTGCGTGTGGACTCCCCCTCTTAGAGAAATAGGTTCCATCATGGGGTGCAAGTCTTGCCTCTGGGGGCGTGGAGGAGAGGGACGGAGGCTTCTGTGCCAAATCTCTCTTAGAAACGGCAGAGTGGCTCCTGAGAGCTGAGGGGCAGGAGAGAAAGCTGTGGAAGGTTTCCTCTATGCGGTAGGATGGTGGTAGTTTTCAACACTACACGTGTTTTCGCTATGAGCTGAAATGACAGCAGCTATGAACGTGGAGCAAAGCAAAGGAAGGCAGGCTGGCCCAAGGAACCAATCCCCATAGACTGGCAGTCCCAAACCACAATAGATTGCCACAAGAAGGGGTAAGCTACCTGCAAACCTAGTCTTCACTGAGGACTGTAAAATACGACCATTTATACATTACTACATTCATGTGATACTGCTCTTACCTGTGCAGTTGACTTTTCCCTTTCCTCTCTTTAATGAAGTATTGTTACACTTGGGAATGGGAAAAATTAGCTTGTGAGGTACCAGAAGGTTTTGTTCGATTTTTTTTTTTCCCAGTTTCTGGACAAGCTTGAAGTTGTTGTTTTATTAGCAGCCCTTGAAAAATTTTAACTGGCCCCTGTGACTGCCAAACAAGTCCTGACATAAGTTAGATTAAGAATAATTTAATGCAAGGTTGGACCAGATCATCTCTAGAGGTCTCTTCCAATCTAGACTTTTTTATGATGGTATAAATGGATGAATTTTTTTTTTTAATAGCCGAGTGACTTAGAGGCAGAGAGCTACGTGAATAACTGATCTTCTGGTTAACTGGATGAACAGAAGGTTGAGGAGGGAGACACAGTGTTGGGAAACAGAATTTTCAAACTCTCAGCAAGATTTCCTCTCCCATTACAGAAACACTTCACAGTGTATCAAGGCATTGCATTCCAGGCGAAATGTAACAATTTCTACTCCTTTCACAAAGATTATATTCAGTTAGGGGTTTTTTTTTGAACAAAATACTACTTAGGATGAAAAATCCAAATGTTTAAAAAACACATTTCAGGCTTTTAAAAAAAGTGTTGTTTTCTTGAGGGAACTATTCATGAATTTCTGAAGAGGCGACTGAAAGCATGGATAGTCTCCAGCGAGCCCGACTTCATTTTTTGCCAGATAGACTATTTCATTAAAAAACAATCAATCCCTTTGTCTGCTTAATCACTGTTCTGACAGGCTGCAAAGGAAAGACGAAGAATTCCTGCTCCGTGCAGCACTACACAGAGTCACATGAAGGCTAAATGGAAAACCAAACCTAATTTTGCAAGGGGCCATTAGGAGCCATGGGCTCTCCAGTCCCACAAGGATAAAATCTTAACACAACAAGGCCCAGAGTTTTAAAAGTGAATGCCTGAAGTTTTGCCCACCAGCCTGCCCTTACCCATGTAAATACCTGGGCTGGCACACCAGGGTACTTAGCAAGCAGCATTGCTGCTTGTGAGTTAATGGGAAATGCTGGGTGACCAGGACTTTTCAAAGTCACACCAGTTCCTTTGGTACTGTGGGAGGTCTCGGACCTTGGATGCACATTTACATATTCATGGATGCACACAGTCCACTTGAAGTTAATGAGACCACACAGTCCAACAAGGTAATTCTTTTTTTTTTAATGGGTATTTAGGGAAGATTTTGAGTCTGACTTCAGGCATTTTTGCTTTTACGTTAAATCTTGGCCAAGATTTTCCCCATATAACTCACAAGATGCCTTTAAATTCTTTTCCCCACCTTCTTCCTCACTGGATTACTAAGGAAAAATAACCATTCATCATAACAACCAGCAGTAATAATATTTCAAAATAGAGTAATTAAACAATACGTTAAAAGACATCAAACTTCTGCAAAAGGAAAACTGACATCAGTAAAGATCCTTAAAGTCTGTTTGAATGAACCTAAATAATAAACAGAGATTGCTTCCTGAGGCAGTGTCTCCTTTGGGTGCTTGCATCAAAGCTGAGCTTAAAAACTAGGATCGCTCCTCCTGGACAAACCAAGCGAACAGGAGACTGCTCCAAGTATCTGAGCAACACTGGCTGAAAAAAAATAAAGAAACAGGAAGCAGAGGCAAGATGCTGATTGACTGAGGGCATATGGGAGACCTAAGGACAACAATCAATCATGGATCCGTAAGCTGCTTAAAACTACTCAACGCTTGGGAGCCAGTGAGGGAGCAGCATCTGTGCGCTCGGACCAGCTGCGATGCCTCCAAAACCCAACACGACACAAATCACGGGGAAGTGCTGCCATGAGAACCTGCTCCCTGCACTCCCCGCCCCGCCACGGGGAGCACCGCTCAACCTGCACCCCCCGGTACGGGGAGTCACTGGAGCATGGAGACGGGAGCCCGGGTCTCTAAACCTTTAGACGGCCCATGTTTCCAGCGGTATTTTGGGTTTCCCACCCAGGGTTTGCAGGGGCGCCCGTTTGGAGGGGTTGGGACGGGAGCGCCTGGCGCAGGCCATGGAGCGTGCAGGTTGGACGGGGAACACGACCACTGTTGCTGCGTTTGAGGCTAATCGGGTTTGATGTCTCACCTCTTGGTTCAGCATGGGCTTGCAGCCCGAGTTTTTGTTGGTGAGCTGCAAGGGTGCTATCTGGCTTGTCATGTCTAATAACGTCCCCTCCTGAAGGCTGATACGCTGAAAGATCTGTGTTGCTGATGTTAAAAGCTGGATTTTCAATGCCTTCTGTTGCTGCTCTCTCTTCTTTTACTACAGAAAACAAGGAGGTCAGAGGAGCATATTATAGCAAAGTGTATTTCAATGACAAGCAGAAAATTCCTTCTAGTAATTCCTTTGCTGAAAGACTCAAGTGTATCGTCCTCAAATGTCGCCAAAACAGAATTAGGTTAAAATTAACTCCAAAAAAAAAAAAAGGAATAAATGATTAAAATAATTACAAATTGCACCCTGACAAGCAAGAGCAAAATTTCGCCCACAGCCATTTGTCTGTAATTAGTTAATTAATCCTTACACAAATTATGAGCAATAACTCATCAAGCAAGGCTCACCCATCAGAAATTCAGCCGACTTGGATTTCTTCTGCTTAGTTTGCTTCAGAGCCTTCTGCTGGAACTTCTGGAGGGAAATTGTTAAATGAATAAATTAGCTAAAGAACGAAGATCATCCTTTATGATCCACAACTAACACAGTATTTTAAATATGGGATGGCATTGAAATGTCATTTAATTTACATCTCTGCTAAAGGGGTCAAACACTAATTGAACAACAGAAGTGGAAGAATTAAATAAAATAGCAGAAAAGTTAAAACAAATGCCAAATGAAGGTCACATTAAAATACTATGTTTTTTCCCAGTTTTAATTAATGCAAAGAAACCTCAACAAATGAAGAGCGTTATAAGACTTGTCTTTACAGTATGCATTCAGCAGCCACTGCTTTATTTCGCTTGCAGAACTGCAGTGATTCATTTAGAAAAGTTTGTTTATGCATCATATTTATAGACAGACTTCCCTGACATCCCCCGTTCCCTTATTTTCTAGGGCCACTTGCATAACCAGTGTATTTGTTCATCACAGAGCAGCTAAAAAATGAATGAGCCCTACAATTTTGTACAAGGCAATAAAATAAAAATAACTCCAAAACACGTTACAACGAGATGTCACAAAAGAGAGATCACGGTGCAGGGGAGGGAGGAAGCAGGGCTCATCACAACAATGAAAAGTTCATTTGATATTAGAGAGATGTCAGCAACAGTTACAGTGAAAACAAATAGCAGGAGATCTTGGAGGATCTGAACTCTGACAAGTTCCACATTAATTCCCATGGGGAAGCAAGGCTCAAAAAGAAAAAAAAAACGTGATCACGTTACTACCGTCAGGAAGGTCCAAGTGTTAAACACTGTCTTTGTATAATACCTTGAGTGGCGCAAGCGAGAGAGTCACACCTGGGCTCGTGCGTGGCTACAGACCCCTACAATAGATGCTAACAGTCAAAGCAGGCAGAGATTACCTCAAAGAAAGCACATCTGGGAGTATTAATCAAAGCCAAAACCAAAGTAAGAAAACAGTTCAGACCCATTTATTTTTCAACATCACATGGCAGTTTCTGAAAACAGCATTATTTTTTCAAGCCAGTTGCTTAATTGTCCAGTGATAAAGACCACTCCTGGCAACATAGCTCCTGGAAACTGTCAATACAAAAGGATTAATTACAAGAATCATTGAAAAATTGCAACTTTTACAGCATCCATCTTTCCCGTTTGATTGTGGGTGTCAATTTCCAGTAAAAAAACAACGCTTGCAGCAGACACAATCAATAAAACTGTCAAAAATAACTGAACCATAGCACTGACAGATTAATGTAGATATTAATATCTTCATATATATACATGTATATATGCACACAGACACATGTTAGTCTGAAAACAGTGGACTTCCTCTAAATTAAGACTACTACCCTACTAAAAAGCAAATAGGTGTAAAAATGACTAGACACATTCTGGAAACTACAGTAAGTAAATATTATAACAGAATTAATTCCTACAAGCCGCACACAGCACAACTGAATTTAATGATAATTTTGGCAGGAGTTCAATAGGTTCAGGAATTCACCCTACCGCTTCTGATTTTTTCTGAACTGAAAAATCGTTCAAAAATATATGTTAGCATCTTTAGGATTATATCACTTTTGCAATATTAAAGTATTGCTGCTTTCCTTCATACCATAAAATTTTAATCAAGTCAGTTTTAAAGATTCTGGCAGTATTTGTAACGCTGTTGTGTGATAATTATTCTTATTATGCTCCATATAATCACCACACAAAACCTTAAACTTTATCTTAACAGCTAAAGAAAACAACACCTAGACAAAAATTCTGGGAGATATTTTCAACTGGTGTAAATCAGTATACATCCATAACTTTGATAGAATTAAAATGATCTTCATTACCTTCTACGTATTCCTTTCGCATGTCAGATTTCCCTAGCAAAACCACTTGCAGGCTATATTGGCCATATTTTATTTCAATTGTTATAGTCTGTAAAACACATAAGCTCCTTTCACAGCAATAAGAAAAAAAAAATTTCCTCCTCCCCTACATCTAATAAGGATGTGGAGTGGGTTTATGACATTTCAGAGTGCGTTGGGGGGGGGTTGGTGTTTTTTGTTTTGGTTGATTTTTTTCAGTGACACAATAGATTACATTCTTTGGTGCTTCACTCACTGCAATGCAAATTAGTATTTTTAAGTGGTTGATGTACAGGTTTGTGACTCCTGCTTACTTACAAAGAACTTGAACAGAGATTATGCCCTTGTCCCTTAATGTGATCAGGTTTTGTAATGGTGTTTTTCACGAGTTCATATTTTTAGAATGAAAGCAACACCTGATTTTCAGCAGCAGAGAGGAATTCTTCCAGGGTTACTTCTCAACACGACTGAATAACGGAGTATTTCAGGGGTGGCCTTTGTGTAATCAACACATGTTCTTGTCACTTCATGCTTCAGAGGAAATTAGAAGACATTTTCCCTTCATACCTATCTCCAGCCAATTTCCTCGTCCTTCTTTTACACATGAGCACCTTTAAGTAGTGTAAATTACACTCTTCCCCCCCCAAGCCCCCCACTTCATTTTAGGTTTCCTTCCCCAGCCCCCTTACCTTTACGATACTTTGCCTTCTCATCAGAGAATAGGCAGGAAATTATCCAGTGGCATTTTATATCCTTTTTGTCATTAGTCACTACCAATTAATTTATGTATTTATGCAAATTCATGTCTGAAGCAATTGTTCTTTAATCAGTTCACATGTACCTGCAAAACTTAGGTTTCCAATAGCAAATTAAACAAAACTCTTTCGGTGACCATACAAATTAAACTCTTTCAGTGACCACTTGCCGTACTTGCAGGCAAAGTCCTGTTGTGAAAGCATGCCTAGATGAACGCCCATGAACACACGTCCACACGGAAAGCCACCATTTCTAATTACAGAACATTATCTAAAACTAGATGTAAAAAAGCATTCCTACAAAAAAGCGAAGCTGCTCGAGCCTCAAGTGGTACAAAGGCTGCGCTGGCTTACACCTGCGGTGGAGGTGGTCCAACTTGCATCCGCAAGCGATACACGTCAGACCTGTCCATCCACAACCAGCACATAGAAAGGGGATGTCCTTCGCTTGCAAAGTCAAGTTTAACGGGTGCTGCTGCTGCTGATAGCAATTCATCCTATCTCAAAGCTCCACCACAGCTGGTGAAAAATAAAGTCTTGCTTTTTAACCTTTTTTTTTTTTAAATGCCTTTTTGCCTCGAGTGCGCTGCGTTATGGCAAAGACAAGGGGAGTTGGAAGTGTCTGAGCACAACGCAGGCTAATCACCGCGTCATTCAAAAAGTGACCTAAACCTTTAAATGCCTTTTTTGCATGGCATCATCCTTAAAACACACCGCCTGCTTACTGATACCGATTGAAACAAAGGAAAACTGGGAGTACCAGGACCCGTCGAGCTCGGGTCTGCGGGAGAGCAGCAAGCGCCGCAACAACAGCGGCAGCAGCAACTGCGAGGGAAAAAACCCTCATTTATAACCAGTGACAACTAAAACCTATGAAGTTTTTAAAAGAATGTGATTGTTGTCAAAAGGAATTGGGTACAACAATGCTGCGTTCAGCTCTGGTTCCACTCAAAGCCCTGGCTGAGGGGCTCTGGGAAAGCTGCTGGAAGGCTGGTGGGCACAGACCAGCAAGAAAGTGAATTTTGCATACTGTACGGATCATCGCTCAGTTCAGGGCAGTCATATTGAATCTGTGATCAACCAATTGTGCTTCATGAAACCGTCAGCCCTCATTTATGTCTAGCTGTTTTCTTCTGTCCTGCTGTAAACAAGCTCTGCTCCAAGCTGTCTCCCTACCCTTATCTGCTTACGAAGATCACACAGACAGACCTCATCAGCAGCCTTAGAGTTAAAGTTAAAGTTACTGCTTCCAGACAGCAGTCCCCATGCAAGCTGGAAGTCAAAAAGAAGAGCAACTTTGGAATGACAGAGTTTTAGTTCCTTTTAGGAAATGCATACCTTAGATTCATACACATACTGGCATGTTATGTCTCTTTCATGAAATTAAATTAGGTGTTCCTAATATGAACAACTGTATCCAACATCAGCAAACTAGCTCAGCAGATTCATCCGTGGTTTTGTTTCTGGGTTGGTTTTGGGTTTGTTTTGGGGTTGTTTTTTTGTTGGTGTGTTTTGGTTTGGTTGTTTTGGGGTTTTTTTGTTGTTTTTGTGGTTTTGTGTGGGTTTTTTTGTTTGTTTTGGTTTGGTTTTTTTGTTGTTTTTTTTTTTTCTCCTTTAGGGCTTTGTTTGAATACAACCAAAAGAGAAGTAGCTAGAAATATTGTCAATCTGGTAGGGGTCCAAGAACCTAATAATGCCTGAAATGCTCTAAGGAGTGTAATGATGGTAAACAGGAACAGGTATGTTGGTTTCTGTTCTCATTCACTTCAGCGAGAGCATTAGCCTTTCAACATAAAGCAGAACACAGCACAGTTTTCAAAGAATGATCCTCTGGCATAAAGAGGGATGGAGCCTTACTAAAAATACATTTCCCTGCGAATGCACACACAAATGCGTTCATTGGTATTTACAGCATTTAATTCTTGCAACCAGCTGCTAAGTCCCTGTTAAGGCTTTCCTTTATGCAGCTGGAAACTTTTCCCTTCTCCTAGCCTATTACTTTGTCTATTTAAGGGATGGCAGCCAAAGCAAAACAGCTTGTAATTTGCACCTGTCTGCTTTAAGCACTCCATGTTAGATTTTGCAGAGAGCAAACTCTTCATTGCTAATGACAATGGCACTTAGTAGGGTCAAACATATTTTTTAGCTGACTCCGCAGCAATTAAAACAAATAAATAAATAAATACTCACTTCACTTAAGCCTGTTCTAGCTAGCTAGACGAGGCTTTTAGACGAGGCTAAAGGAAAAGCCTCGTCTAAAACTAACGGCTCAGTGCGTAGGTGGAAGATGTAACCCCACGTGTCTAGTCTAATACGACACTGGGCACAGCTAGGTGCAGCTGGACCCGTGCACTGCCCGTGCAGGAGCGTGCAGAACAGCTTTTACCTTTTCCCCTATAAAAATTCAGAATTGTTTCAGAGAAGAACCACGTGCAAAGAATACTTCCAAATTTCTACATACCAGGCTGTCCTTTAAGGAATCACAGTACGCTTCGCTACCTACAGGGTCAGGCCTATGAGGAAATTGATCTCCGATAATTAAAAAGAAACACGTGCTTCGCTCCTGATCCAGAGACGTGCAAGCATTGCCACGCAGAGACGCACTAGCTGGAGCACAGAGCGGTGAAGGTGTATCTCAAGCAAATAAACCACGTGTGATCTTTCAGCCTTACATAAACTACGTTAGCAGGTTTGCTTCTTGTTAGAAAACGAGCATCGGTGCTTTCACTCAACTGTGGTATCATTTAAAATTACATTGAAAGAAATAACAATTACACTGGTATATTAGTTTCGTTACCAAGTAGTTGGGTTTTTTTCTTGCTTGCTTTTAAAATAGAAAAGCCTTCAAAAACTCAGGCTACAGAGCTGATGACAAAAACAAAAAAGCTGGGGAAAAGAAAACAGAAAATAAATAAAAGTAAAACATACAATTTATTAAAGAAAACATTGGTGTTGCATTTCAATTTCATAGATTGTCCCCATTTGTACTTCCTGTTTAAACAATAACTAACACGATGATGGGTTAAATGAAGTTGAGATTGTCACAAACATGGCCTCGCTAGTAATTAATGTAGTTTAATATGGTTGTTGGCACACATCTCGCATGACAGATAATGTTCCAACATGTCACTGATAGGACCTTTCAGCACAGCTTTAGGAGATCTACCAGGCATTGCTGAGGTTGGTTAGGTCAAAGGGTTGAACCATGTGTAATTCAGAACAGAGGAGGTCCCACGGTCACTCCACAAAAACAATTACACTACTTATTTCACTCCATCCCTTGCCCGAAATTCACAAGCCTCACAGTTTCAGCGCAGTCAATCTCGCTCTGCCCTGGGGCTATGAGCCACATGAAAATATGTGGTGCTGTGTTTATAAATCTAATCAAAAATAGAAACAGTAGACAAGCACAATGAGGTCCTACTATGGATCATGGGAATTCTCTAAATTCTGAAGGCACTTTTGTTTAACTTCTGTGGGCCTTCTCCTACCATTACATTGTCTGATACTCTCGTTAATCATCCCCTTGACTTGTCAATGATATAAAGGAGCCTACGCGTCTGCTGACTTCCCTCCCATCACACTACAAATATTATGAAACAGCAACGCTACAAATAGTCCCTTTAATTTTCTGTTTTAAAGCATGGCTTTTCTTCACTTACCTTTTTCTCCATTCCAGCCTGCCCTTTCTCAGACCTGCAGCAGAAAACTCTTCCTCCTGCAACAAAAGAGGGAATACATCTGAATTTTCAGTCTGCATACGGTCATTAATACCCTTAGGTTTAACACACAGACTTGCAGAGGACCAGCCTAGGAATCTGCCAGGATGGGAGATCTTTTCCTGCTGCAGTCCCTGTTCCTGCCTTGCCAAAGAGCAAAGGGAAGATATAGTGCTGTTCCTTCACTTTGCCTTTTTGAAAACAACTTTGCATCAAATCACATTAAAAAAAAAAGCTAACGAAGATAAACAAGAAAAACAACAGTTTAAGCTCAGATGAAGTAACACCAACAAAGATGTGGTTTTGAGTGAAAGTAGCCCAGAAGCGGATAATTCCTACCCACAGGCAGTAACTACTGAAACGATGCAGAGTTTGCTATGGAATACATCTAAAGACTACAGTACCAAAGCTGCCAGGCTCAGGAATGCTTCTGTGATCCAGCGTTTAGGTGGCTCCTACTTGTGCATCACTCCCTGCACTGGGATTTCCATTAGAAGGATGGAAATTATCCTCTACTCTGACATTATAATCACTAAGCAAACATACAGTAGTTTTACAAGTTATATATCACATGAGCAAAAATGAGTCAATTTTATACCAGCTACTTTTGTCTCCATGAGGGGAAAAAAATATTCATTCAAAATGGCTAGACAGGTTGTCCCTGTGCTGGCTGAAATAAATGGCAAAACTAGCCTGACTCCTCAAGTACAGGACCTTAAGCACAATAAATAGCAAGCTTCTTCCTTTGCCAGCTTTTCCCTTATGCTTTTATACAAACACATTCGGATTACTTTGCAGGGTCTGAAAACAAAACAAGACTTTGAACAATTAAAAATATCCCTTCGGAGTCCCTCAGCAGCTTTAATTGACCTTCCGGGTCAGAAGATGTCCTGTACAAAATACATGTTTGGCCCCAGTTGAGGAAACTCTCTCCTGAGGGCACCATGCAAAGAAGTGCTTACTTCTAAGTACACGCTTAAGTTTCATTGAAATCAATACAATGGACGGCAAACGGGGCCACAAATTCTCTGTGGAAAAAGGCTGCATTGTCGCTTTCATTGCTCAGTAATGAATGAAGGGCTGAGCTTTTGCCCAGGCTTTGCTGACGCTGAGAGTCTGCTGACCTTTGCCATCACTCCTCAATTTCGGTGCCCTCATTGAGGTGCCAAGGCCATTGCAGTGATGCCGGGGGCTGCGATTCCGGCAAGTCTCACTCTTCCTGCGGCCAGCCCTGCCTGAACAGCCCCTGCACCACAGCCCACCGCTGTTTCAGAAACCATGCCTTAACTCCTCTCCTCCATAGCACTCTGCAATATTGAAATAAAGCCACACCAAGATCGTACAGGTAGGCTAAGGTCATGTATCTAGTCATCTTATGTCAGAAAACAACCCCAGAGTCCCAATTCCAAAATCCAGGATGGGTTTCCAGGCAAAGGTAGTATTTGCATCACTTTTATAACTGCTGCTCTAATATGACCACACATCCACTGAACGCAGCAGGTAACTAGTTTTGAGTCCGATCGTGTGGCACATTCCTTGTTATGGCTTAAACAGGAGCGGCAAAAAACAAGAACCTGAATGAATCAAAGAGAATAAAAGCTTGAAATACTCCTTTCCTTCTCAAGGTAGAATCACAAGAAGCTGCTCAGCAGAAAGAACTGATAAAAATGTAAATTCAACATTTTCCTCCAAGATCAACATCTGCTCATTGAAAAGGAGCCAAAGATGCAGCAATGTGGACTTTCAAAGCCACAATAGTCCCAGGAATCCAAACACCAATGGGAAGACTTGAGTCTCATCTTAAAGAATGTAATTGACCAAATTAGGAAAACAAAGACACAAACAATGAGTTCAGACGAGACATTAACAACATGAGTGCCTTAACAATGGTTTTCCTAGAGTTCAGAACCTTCCTTTTGTTTTGGTTCTCTGGGAAATTATTTGTTTGGGTGGGGGATGACTTTGGTGTTATTTTACATGAAGGTACAGACATTGCTTTTCCCTTTTTCTTTTTAATACTAATCAGGCAACACATTCAATACTGCATTAACTGGTGTTGACTGTGGCCTTACTTAACCTCATCAGTCTATTTTCTTTAGCTGGATAACAGCTGAATCATTAGCTTTAAACTGGCTTGCAGTCCTGAAATAGTAAATCAAAACCCAAGTACATGATATAAGGGGTTTCTACAGGTATGTCAGCCAGAAAAGGAAGGTCAAAGAAAGCATAGTCCTCTGACGAGCAAGACTAGCAAACTGGTAACAACGGGTGAGAAGGCGGCTGAGGTACTCAATTTCTTTGCCTCAGTCTTCACTGGCAGTGTCTCTCACCACACCTCTTGAGGGGATGGACTGCAAGACAGGGACTGGAGGAGCAAAGTCCCTCCCACTGTAAGAGAAGATCATGATTGAGACCACCTGAGGAACCTGAACATGCACAGGTCTATGGAACCTGATGAGACACATCCCAGAGCCCCGAGGGAATTGGCTGATGTAGTTGCCAAGCCACTCTCCATGATACTTGAAGAGTTCTGGCAGTCAGGTGAAGTCCCTGGGGACTGGAGAAAGGGAAACATTGCACCCATTCTTTAAAAGGGTAGCAAGGAGGGCCCTGGGAACTACCAACCCATTGGCCCCACCTCCATGCCCAGGAAGATCATGGAACAGATCCTCTTAGAAGCTGTACTAAGGCACATGGAGGACAGGGAGGTGGTTTGAGACAGCCAGCGTGGCTTCACCAAGGGCAAAGCACAGCTGACCAAACTAGTGGCCTTCTATGATGGAGTAACTACATCAAGTGGACAAGGGAAGAGCTATGGATATCATCTATCCAGATTTCTCTAAGTCCCCTACAACATCCTTCTCTCTAAATTG